TTAGATGTAGTGTTCCATGATTCATTGTTTGTGCATAACACCCAGTGCTCCATGCAGAACGTGCCCTCCTCAATACCCATCACCAGGCTCACCCATCCTCCCACCCCCGCTTATCTGTTTATCAATCTGTTGTTCCTAGGAGACTGTAAGCCACTTGAAACTGTTTCTTCATTTCCAAATCCCTAGTACCTGGTAAAATGTCTGGGACATAGGAAGTACCTGATAAGTGTTTGTTGAATGAATGAATGGATGAGTTATTTAATTAATATGAAGAACGAATGAATAATGCACTGTTGCATTGTGTCTCTTAACATTTGAGTCCTCCTGGTTTTTGTCTATGCTGTCTGATTTCCACTGCACAGCCTGCCCTGAGCTTTGCTTGTGGTCCTTCACATCGGGACTTCTGACCACCTGCCTTCTGATCACCTGTTGCTGACCTAATGGCCTGAACAGCATCTTTGACTCTGCACATTTCTGGCTCTAGCAATCTCAGCTTTCTGCCCCATTGCCATGCTCCACCCCAACTTCCCACAACCCTGGCACTGATGAACAAGGCTGTGTGGTTACAATATAAATTAGTGATTTGATTAAATGCAACAACAAGCAAGGATGTGAGTGTCACAGATTTTGATCTGAAAAGCATAGCTTTAAGATCAGTTTTAAGTTTTCAAAGTTTTATATATTGAGTTGTCAGGTACTGGGAAATTTTATAACCTGTATCCCCCAGCACTCAACAACTCTGGATGGACTTGCCCTTTATAACTGACATGTTATTCTCTTAAGTCTACCATGGTCTCAGATTTATTGTGGGGTGACTTCTAAGAAATAATAGCCATAGGTAATAGATTCCCCTGAGAATGAGAGAGGGCTAAATACATGTACAAATAGAATTCTAAGCTCTTTTAGCCCCTGTAACACAAAGCCCCCAAGCCTCAAATAACCAAAGAGATCCTCAGCCTCAGCGTGTTGGGAGGCTCGGTGGGGGGATGGGAAGATGGGGAAAGTGGAAATAGTGTAAATTAAACACTAACAACATTTCATACTAGTTACTAAATATATCAAGCTTGAAATATGTTATTAAAGATCTTAATTCAATTCATCATTAATAATTAAGAGCATAATATATGTAAGACACAAGGCCAGGCCTCTGGAGGTCACTGCCCTTAATCTTCAGCAAAGTATTTCCAGCAGAACATTTCTACTCCCACCAATGTAGAGAAAACATGGTGCTATAAAGTCATTTGTATTTACCCAAGTCAAATTCCCTAACAGAGATGTTTAAAACTGGATAAAATTTATTACCAGCCTCTTATCTTGCAAATGATAGGGAGAGTCCTCTGCTATGCTTTTGGAAAATTCTTGTACCTGCAGTGAAAAAATGCAATATTTCATTAATGGCAAGATGTGTTATGTCTGAATTTGGTCACTTCTATTCATCATAATAAGCTTTAAAAACATTACTTTAGTCTTCAGTTGATCAGTCTGTTCTTTTAACTTCTGGCACATCTGTTTCCCCTGGATTATCTTCTGAAATACGGAAGAAGAACTTGGGAAAATGTCTTTCTGAGACATTGATGACACCTTAAAGAGACTCATCTCTGATTCTATTCCTGTATAAGAAAGAGTAAGTTTTGGCTTCCATTCATCTCAATTTTACTGCAGATTTATTAAGTACTAAAAACAGAAGTCCGTGGCAACGACCACCATTTGCTGTTTAACAAAAGGTTTCAAAATGTATATCTAAATCAAAAAGGTTTAAAAAAATATTAGTACCTGGGACGCCTGGGTGGCTCAGTCAGTTAAGCGTCTGACTCTTGATTTCGGCTCAGGTCATGATCTCAGAGTCGTGAAATCGAGCCCCACATCAGGCTCCATGCTGAGCATGGAGCCTGCTTAAGATTTTCTCTCTCCCTCTCCCTCTGCCCCTCCTCCCATCTCCTCTCTCTCTCTCTCTCCCTCTAAAAAAATAAAAAAATCAAATCAAATCAAATATTAGTACCTGTGAGATGTTCTTGGTGAATATGTATTGTGGGCTCCATCTGTACAATTAAAGGATAAGAAAACACTATTTATTGCTAATGCCATTATTCAAAAAGATCCAAAATGTGTGGTCATCATGGAGGTGGCCCAGAGTTGTGTCAAGAGCTGGGTCCCTGATGCCAAGGTTGAATTCCACTCTGACACTCATCTGCTGGGTGACTCAAGACAATTACTTCATCACTGTGAACCTCAAATTCCTCAGCAATAAGATGAGGATAGAAATAGAACCTACCTCCTAGGGTTGTTATGAGGATGAAATGTTAGGTATTACCATAAGATCTGGCACGTGGTTAAAGCATCCATGACACATCAGCTGTTACTACTACCATGTTCGATAGTATTACAGGGACTACTGAAACATTTCTCCCAAAACTGGACCATAAGCTCCATGAGGGCAGGGACCACTGTTGGTCTTCTCACCAGCCCTGTGGCCGGTGTTCTCACTAACACTGTGCACACAGTAGCCACACTCTAGAGAATAATAAAAAACCGTAGGCATTAAGTTCCAAAATGTGAGTCAAGATAGTGATTGTTTACTCACCACAGACTAACAGGACAGGAGCTTAAATTCCAGAGTGACTCACGCTGAGGTCTTCCCACTGTTCTCAACACAGAAAGCTCAGAAACATGCTCGTGCCCGAGTGCTCAACGGTGGTGGTCAAACTAGACTTTGGTTATGACGAATACCTCAATGGTATGATGGATAGTCTATTCTCCAGCCTTAATCGACAGGACTAGAGAAAATCAGACACTTGACTTTAGGCTGCCACAGCCAGAGAGAGGTGAGCCTAATATCCAATCTGTTCCTACTCATCTCCAGGCCCAAGGACTGGGCATCCCCAGGGGTGTTTTCCTGCAAGCCGAATGAGGACCCCTGAGACTTGCCAGTGTCAGACACAGAGAAGCACACCAGTCAAGGCCAGGTGGGCTGCTGGCTTCAGGTGTGTGGGGGGTGGGCGTGGGTGGGTGTTCTGCACAGGCTCCCCAGAGCATTCGGCTGAAAGAGAGGGCTGAAGCATGAAGGGGTGGAAATGGAAACAGGCAGAGAGTGTTTTCCAGTTCAGATCGCCCTTCGTACACAGCTTAAGGGAAAGATCATACTGTGTGGGCAAAGTGCCAGAGAACTAAAATGTTTACTTTGATCATTAATGCGAATTTACCTAACTACTGAACCTCAAGTAATCAATGAGGTCCCAAGCCTCAATGTGTTGGGAAGTGGGATGGGGGATGGGAAGATGAGGAAAGGGGAAATAGTATAAATTAAACATTAACAAAATTTGGTCTTCGGGGGCATCTGGCTGGCTCAGTCGGTAGAGCATGCGACTCTTGATCTTGGGGTGGTGGGTTTGAGCCCCATGTTGGGTGTAGAGATTACTTAAAAAAAATAAAGAAAATCCCAATGTAAGCATTAAAAAAACTGCTACTAAATAGTTGCCAATATAGGAAGCTTGGAATGTTATTAAAGACCTAAGTTTGATTTGATTTAGCATTAATAACTAAAGATGTAATATATGGAAGGCAGAAGGCCAGGTCCCTGGGGGAATTAAGCAATAGAATGATGAAGACAAAGTTGCTGCCCTCCAGAGTACTCAAGTCTAGTGGAAGAAATGGATATTTCCAAATTATCATGATCCAAAGCAGGCTAACATAAATAAATGCTCTGACAGAAACCTAAACAACAGAGGATGTGAAGGACTGCCTGGGGGTGGGAGTGAGACTCAGAAAGTCCCCCAGCCAACGGGGAATTGAAGGGGGCCATGAAAATGCGCACGTCTTTGACAAGCAGAGGTGGGATGTTCCATGTGGGGCAGGAGCTCCAAGGGTGCGGGCCCAGAGAGCTTGGGGACCAGCCACTTCACTGAGGATGACTCCTGGGGGATGAGAGCGAGGTTTATAAGGGTAGGATGGAGCCAAAAAAAAATGGGGAAACTCAAATTCCAGGTCAAAGAATTTGGAGTTTATTCTATGATGTGTTGTTGTTTGTCCAGCCCCTGATTCTTCTCAGGAAGACACCCACTGAGCTTCTGAGAGGTCAAAGATTAGGTCAGTTCCATGCACCTTGCAAAGACCCACACTGTACGGATGAGAAGTGGCCCCAATCATGCATTTCCTGGAAACCACTTTCACTTACCTCTATCTGTTGTGAAGGTTCAGCAGTTTTCCTTTTTTGTCCTTGTCTTTCAATACAGTTTGACCTAGACATGCTTTCTAAAATATCTTGCACAATAGCTGACTTATCTCTCAATTTAGGAGAAAAGCTGGCTTGTTTATCTGTTGTAAGTGGTTTATTAATTGTTTTATTTTTAGGGACTTTCCCTTTGGGAGCAACCTTAGGGAAATCAGATAACTCATAATGAACCAGACTGTGGCCATGTTTGAACCCAGTGCCTGAAACTGCTTTTTCGGTCTGCAGTTTCTGGGGTGGCTGCCCTTGGCAACTTATTGGTTTATCATGTGGACTCTTGATTTTAGTTAGAAAATGTGAAGTTTCTTGATGGCTGCTCTCTCCAGCAGCCTCTAAGTCAGAGGCGTTTCCTTCTGTCACAGTTAGTGAACAACAGGGCATATTGCTGTTTTCACCACCCCTTTTGGGGCTCAGTTGGTCTGTGAGTTCTGAGGTTTGTTCTTTTGGCCAAGAATTCTTAACATAGCGCAAAATAATATTTTTAACAATAGCTTCATCAGCACTGTCAGCATTAGAAATCTCTGGGAAAGTTTCACAATTAATGCCTTGACCTTTTAAGAATTCCTGATTGGAAAGATGATGGAGTAAAATATCAGAAATGTTTGACTTGGAAGGGTCTCTTTCATTAGCCAGAATATCAAGATTTACAGTGGATTGTTTCTCTTTATCATAGTTTTTGTTGGTAACAGTTTTAGTCATTTTACCCAGAGTCATGACCATGTCTGCATTTCTGCAAGTCTCTTTATATGTAGCCTTTTCTTGAAGGTCATCTACTGTTAAAGGAATTTGATTTGAGACATCAAGGATGTCATTTTTTGAGGTAAAATTGTAATCACTGTATATCTTAATTTGGGAGAAATCCCCATCATAAGGCAAATCTTTCTGTTGCTTAGAAGTTGTATCTTCTAAGAAATTGGCTTTGTCCATGTATGTGCAGCCTGACCTCCTTCGTCCCTTGCTGCCTATTCTTGATGTTCTTAATTATAACAGTAGATCTTCTGGTTTTCATTGACTGTCTTCATTGTGTGTCCTATTCTGTGCAAAATGAGAAGAACCTCATTGTTAAATACATTGGAATAATGTATGAAACTATGCTTATATTGCTGTTTATGCCAGAACAAAATGGATGCTTTTCATTTAACAAACATAAGGCAGAACACTCAGCCAAGTGGTATATAAGCAAGGAATAAAGAAAAAAAAAAGTTGGGAGGAGGTTTTACATTTTCTTATTCATTAAATTTTGAGGGAGAATTTGGTCTCTAGTTAATGACCAAATATTTATCAATCTCTCCTTGGAAATGCTATTTGGAATTTATTCTTCCAAAATAGGAGCTTAGGATGCAAGTGAAGGATTGCTACGTTAAAATGCCAGGGCTGTCACTTGTCCACACATCACTGACAGGCCTCCACATTGTGTGTTATGAAAGCTGGCTCAGCTCAAACATAACCACCAGCCTTCTCTGTCCTGGGGCTTTTTCTTCTGTCCCTCCAGACATTCTGGTCCCCTTCTCCTGATTTTCTCTTGTATGTTAAAGGCAGAGAAAGACTAATAGAAATATGACCAAGGAACAAAAAGTCCTTTTGAACACCCAGAGGCCAGTCTGCCGCCAAGCATCCCTCTTTTGATTAAAACCTGAGCAGAAGCCAGTCGGAGAGGTTACCTTGCTCTGAGCAGTCCTGACTGGTTGCCACAGCCTGGTGGTAGCAGTGTATCTTAGGGATACTCCTGAAAATGATCAGAGCAAAACCATCTGCCACTTGGTATCAGTCTTTCTTTCTTTTAGACAAAATTGAAAACATCCATTTAGATATCTCCTGATTTGTGAACTTTTGGAACAACTCCTTAGAAGCAGTAAGATTTCCTCCAGCTTTAGGTGGAATAACTGAGACTCTGACTCAACCAGGGTCCTGCAGCCACCCGCTGCCTCCCTTGCCCATATAATGACAGGGTTGGATGAGCGAATCTCTGAAGCTGTCTCCCCCTCTAAATTTTTATGAGTCTGTGAACTTGTGGTTTATTAGATAACCTGAAAGTCTAAAATAATATGTCTGACCAAAAAAAATGAGCTAAGAAAACGGAGTACAAACTAAATGTGGTAAAGACGCTTCCAGAACCGTGTTCAAAAATCTTAATTTGTAGATATGTGCCAAAATTAGAGAACTCAAATCAAAAAGATATTTTGTTTAAAGCAAGGGGGGAGGGGGAAGGGAGGGAGGGAGAAGAAGGGAAGAAGGGGAAGAGGAAGAGGAAGAAGAGGGGGAGAAAGGAATAGGGAGAGTAGAAGGATGGGAGAAGAAGAAGAAGAAACACTGCAGGATTACTTTAAATTATTTAGTGCCTAATATTTACTGTAAAGTGAGGTATATCTTCATGAACAGAATCATAGGTTAGTCCAACCCAAATTGAAGAACAAGGGAAAATGCTTCCCAGGAAAGTCAAAAGCACAGTGGGAAAATGTGAATTCCAACTTCTCTATTCATTAGCTATATGCCATCGGGCCAGTTACTTAATTTTTCTGAGTCTTAGTTTCCTCTTCTGAAAAATCAGAATAATACCTAGTTCATGGGATTGCTAGAAGAACATGAGATCATGCATGTAAAGCTCTTGGCATAGTGTTTGGCACAGAGTGAGCATTCAATAGATGGTAGTTTAAAAATGAAAAACAAAAACAATCTCAGTGCTGGAATTCTGAAGAATGCCCAGATATGGAAGGCTAGGTACTCTATTTGTGGGTATATCTAAAGGTTAAAGGAAGAAGTAGCATATCTGAGACATGATTTCTGTAAGAGTTTTAAACTATTTTAAAAATCTACCTGTAAACGAATATGTTGTTTGATGGTGAAAACTATCACTAAATAAATTTAAATAGAATGTGTCCAAGACATCCAAATGGCCAACAGGTACATGAAAAGATATTCAACATCACTCATCAACAGGGAAATGCAAATAAAAATCACAATGAGATATCTATCTAACACCTGTTAGAATGGCTATCATCAAGAAGACAACAACAAATGTTGGCGAGGATGTGAAGAAAAGAGAACCCTTATAACACTGTTGGTGGGAATGTAAATTGGTTCAGCCACTATGGAAAACAATATGGAGATTCTTCAAAAAAATTTAAAATAGATCTACCATATTATCCAGCAATTCTACTTCTGGGTATATACATAAAGAAAGTGAAGACAGGATACCAAAGAGATATATGCACTTCCATGTTTATTGCAGCATTATTCACTACAGCCAAGATATAGAAACAACCTAAGTGCCCATCAGTGAATGAGTGGATAAAGAAAATGAGGAAGAAGGATATCCTTCCATTTACAACAACATGAATGGACCTTGAGCACATTATACTAAGTGAAATAAGTCAATCAGAGAAGCAAATACTGAATAATATCACTTAGATGTAGAATCTAAAAGAGCCAAACTCCTAAATACAGAGAGTAAAATGGTGGTTACTAGGGGATAGGTGGTGGAGGGATAGGACAGATGTTTTTTAAGGGTATAAATTTTCAATGAATAGTAAATAAGTGCTAGAGCTCTAATGCACAGCATAGTGAATATAGACAATATTGTATTATAATCATAAAACTTGCTAAACTTAATTATTCCAACCACTAGAAAGAAATAATAATTATGTAATATGATAGAGGTACTAATTATCACTACAATGGCAGTCATATTACAATATATAAATGTATCAAATTAACATGTGTACACTTTAAAATTACACGATACTATGTGCCAAATATACTTCAATAGAAAAGTCTGATTTCTGAGGGAAAAAAGAGTATCTTTAAGTGCCTACAGCAAAAGGAGAAAAGAAAGATGAATTCTACTCTTGCAGGACTTTTAGTGACCCAAGCTACGGCCCCAAACTCATTCTCATGCCTTCTTTGTATCTTGAGATACACTTTGCTGACCTCTAAGCCCTTTTTGCTAAGAAAATACCCTTTGTTAGCCGGATCCTAGTTTCTCAAATATCATCCCACTTAAACTGATAAAAATTTAGTTTTTGCTAAGAAAAAGAAAAAGAGAGAGACTACCAAAATAAGCCAGAAGCCTGAGGAACTCTCTCATTAGACATGGGAAAATAGCTTCTCATATTATTATTGTTATTGTTATTTGTGTGTGTGTGTGTACACAAAATATCAAAAGGATTTTGTCTGTTAAAGGACAATCTACATCTTTAGCATTATAATTATAGGGCCTCTTACAGGTAGATGGAAGGAACCAGAACATCTTCTCATGTCAAAACCCAGCTCAATCTCAGAATCCAATGGCGAATCCAAAGAGAGTCTGGTCAGAACCCAACAGAACCTTTCTGTAGACCCAATTTGATTTGCTGAGTTCAGGTGAACACATTTAGGGCCATGACCGCTTATGTAGCTATACTGACCATTATGTGCTCAGCAATAGCTCACAAATCACCCTGAACGCTGAGCATATGAGGCTAGCACATCCCAGTGACCCAGCCCTGTGAAAACACTTCAGTCTGGGCCCTGAGCAACAGGTGCTCACCATGTTGATGTCTATCCCTTGTGTGGTTTACTTTTTTATAAAGTCTGAATTTGGTGTTGAAGTGCTGACTTATGCTCACTAATTTGTCCAGTTTAAGAGAAGGTAACCATGGTTGGGATGACTAGGGATCTGATGGAATCAGTTAAGAATGTCTATAGGAGGGAAAACCAAAACTCCTTAGTGGTTAGAGGTCAAACATGGTCAGCGAATCATTGTTTCTGGGTGGTAGGTGATGTTTGTTCTATTCACTAAGCCCATTTAGTGATAATACAATGTTATGTATCATGTTCTATATTGGAGGATTATTTCCATCTTTAAAGGAAAACTGTGGGACCGTGTGCCTGTGACAGTCACTTAATCTCATCCCTAATACCCTCTGTTCTGTGTTTAGACCTTTGCTAGCTTCCAGACAGGCTATGACCCAAGAGGCAGAGGAAAAAGCAGACATTGTTTCTACCCACCCTTGCAAGATGCCCTCCACTAAAGTATGAACCACTTAACACTCAGGTCTTGAACCCCACTCTTCTAAGATCAACCCTACGAAGTATAATAAAAATAGTTGACTGTTGGATCCAAATTCTTCTTACTCCTTTATATGTGTGTCAGGAAAAATGTGAATAGATTAGAGTTAGGAGCTTTAAGTTCATGATCCAATGATTTTTTTTTTTAAGATTTTTTTATTGCAGTGCCTGTGTGGCTCAGCCGGTTAAGCATCTGCCTTCGGCTCAGGTCATGATATCAGGGTACTGGGATGAAGTCCCAAGTCGGGCTCCTGCTCATCAGGGAGTCTGCTTCTCCCTCTCCCTCTGCCCTTCCTCCCCCCACTTGTGCTCTCTCTCTCTCTCAAATAAACAAAATCTTTTTTTTTTTAAGATTTTATTTATTTATCTGAGAGAGAGAATGGGAGACAGAGAGCATGAGAGGGGAAGGGTCAGAGGGAGAAGCAGACTCCCTGCCGAGCAGGGAGCCCGATGCGGGACTCGATTCCAGGACTCCAGGATCATGACCTGAGCCGAAGGCAGTTGCTTAAGCAACTGAGCCACCCAGGCGCCCAACAAAATCTTTTTTTAAAAATATTCTTTTATTTGGGGGGCACCTGGGTGGTTCAGTTGGTTAAGCATCTGACTCTTGGTTTTGGCTCAGGTCATGATCTCAGGGTTATGAGATGGAGCCCCACATTGGGCTCAGCTCAGAGTCTGCTTGGAGTTCTCTCTCTCCCTCCCCTTCTGCCCCTCCCCCTGCTCTCTCTCTCTCTCTCAAATAAATAAAGAAATAAAATCTTTATTTTTTATTTTTAAGTAATCTCTACACCCAACGTGGGGCTCAAACTCGCAATACTGAGATGAAGAGTCGCATGCTCTACTGAATGAGCTAGCCAGGTGCCCCTGCAACAATATACTGT